CACTGTGCCGTTTGTAGTATTTTCTGAAATAGCGAAACACCCTGTAGGTGCCCATAATGAAAAACAAGAGCGCATTTATACTTATAATTTTTTACCCATCGCTTAAATTCGTATATTTTGTGGGTCATTATCTTGCAGAACTTTTCGTTGTCAGAATTTTATAATAAATTTCACCCTTATAACTGTATCTTTACATTAGACAGAATTCAATTCTGGGTTATCCGTGAGTCCGACCAAATGAGTCGAGATTAAGGATGTGGGTTGTTCTAGTTTTGGGGAAATGAAAAGATTAACTCAGGATAGGAAAGAGTGAAGGTGCGTGTCCAACCAGTCTTAGGATTGATGACCTTAGGATGATGATGAATATAAAAAAAATAACTTCATTTCTTTGATAAAACAATAAATTTCTGGATTCGCACTGGTTCCATTGGAATTGTATTGGCCTGCTGCTGCAATGCAATTCCTAATCATGTGCCATCCTCATCCACGTGGCACCCGCTTCCCTTTTAATATCTATCCTATCCCATCGTCCGGGTATTGTCTTTTTTGTTTCTTTTACATTGTCTAGAACTTTAGGACACTACTGTTTTATGTTTGGGTCGTTTGTCTTTCACGCTTCACTTGGAATATTATGCGCCTCTAAATAATAATATATTTTATAATCTGTAAACTATTGTTCTTGCACGACCATAAATTAATCCGTGTTATAAATTTTTTGAATCGGGGCTCGAGTCAAAATTATTTATGCCTTAGAAAAACTGGCGTTCGTTTAATTTTTGAAGAGCGTAAATATTTCGCACAAGACAGGCGCTACGAAAAATAACAACTATCTATTAAAATTAATATCGGAAAGGTCGGCAGTTTTTATCAGTGAGCTCAGTGTTTGATCTCTTTATAGGCGGCACACTAAAAACTATTGTTAGTGCTAAACGACGTTAAAGCGTAAATTTTGTGACCATAACGTAAACTGTTAATTGACAATGAGTAAAGTTAATGAACAAATTCCTTAATTCGAATCCCGGGCCGCGTATACAACAATGCCTTTGAACCTGATTCGGACCCGAACTTCTTTCAGATGTTTATAAAGAAAAAACAATTTATAATCAATGATCAGCTATACAATCGTGACCACGTGACTAATTTCTTCACATAGGTCTCTTTATTTTTAACAGCCACCTGCGGCCGACCAACACCTCGTATTGTTCTTCCAAATTACGAAGACTACCTACTCGAATGAAACAATTATAAACTTAAACATTTCGGCGAACTCAAAGAGATTTTAGCTTCGAAATTCTAGAAATACCTTTATAATATNACGGATAAAAGGTATCATATGTCCTTTTGGGTACCCACGACAATGTGTGTACAAAATATTATATATAAAAGAAATTATGAGTGCTGTAAGCACAGGGCAAAGTAATATTACGTAGTTAGTATCAGCAATTTATTATACTGAATTGTACGATGTGTTGCATATCTATTTACAAACACTATACATCTATTAAAAAACCATAATGGCCGACATCAGTGACAATGCGACAACAATTGAAAAAGAATGATGGCCGACACTACGTCACAGTGGAGCAAAAAAAAATGGTCTGAGGCAGGGGGAAGAACTAGTAATGATAATAATAATAATTTGTAGCGTTTACAAATTGTTCCTTACACATTGAGTTTATCCTTAGATACAAAGTTTTTCACTTACATTATCCTTAAACTACATTAGATACTTGTCACTTATGCCTATAAGAGCCCTTGTACACGATACGAATTTTCGTCGTGCGACTATGCGGCGATTTATCCGGATCGGCGTTAGATCCTTGCACACGATACAAAATCTCGCCATACGCCTCAGGCAAAAACGTCGATTGGAAAGTCATATTTGGCAAATGTAGTTAGGGTGTGAGAAAGCTAATGAAGAATATTCCCCTTTATCCTAAATAAAACGAATCACATTCTGTACATTCTTATCGTAGGGTTCGGCGACTTTCAGCTTTCGTTGTTTTGGTTATGAAAAATATGTATTTTTATGACTAACACAAAATGGTTCATTTTCTTGAAATTTTGTAGATTTTTGATTAGTACAAAATTCTTTGTTTTTGCGAAGAAATTAGTACATCGACAATCCGACGAATCAGCCATACCATGTGCAAACCCCCATTTAGCTACATGTGACCGGGACGGTTTTTTCGCCGTGTCGTGTACAAGTTCCCATTTGGCAGTGCGGTACTCAGTATCCGGCGATTTAGGGGCAGCCGGACTTAGGCTTCTTAATTCCACATCACCTTCTCTCATTCCTGACTTTACATTCTGTCCATACCTGCCGTACCCCACATCCTCGTCTCTACAACTAGTATCTACATACTCTGGATTCTGCCTCTCAGTTTTTCAACTAATAGTTCTCTCATTTCATCCTCTAGCTCTAGCCTGTCTCCCCTTCATTCGCTTATGAACCTTCTTATCTCTTCCGTTTGCACCCCAATTGCTCCCGTACAACAGAACAGCCGGGCCAGTGTTTTCTCTCTCGTTTCACATAGACTGCATCCCCACTCATTATACCCTTTTTTATTAATCCTTTCTAATATAGCCAAACCTTATTTATGAAAAATTAGTATAAAATTGAAAATTTCATCAAATAGGCAACGAGTTATAGATATTTAAATCATTCTTCGTACATTCTCCTTTCTGATTGCACTTTTTTTGAAAAAGATATTTGCATTTTACCCTGAGGTATTTTTATCTATTTTATTAGATTATTTTTTAAATAACGTCTTACTGAAGGCACACGTGATAGTTTAACATTTTACTGTTGGGTTTTTGTGAACACTGGGTTTGAAAATGCGTTAGTTTTAGATGAAAATTTTAGAGCTTTAATGAGTTTACTAATACTGTACTGGTTCATTTGATTAACTTGCTTTATTTAATTTTCTTTCAAAATTACCCGACTAGAAATTTGGGCTCGTTTTTTATAAAATACTTATTAGGCCAACCGAGTTCGTCACTTAGTCCGAATGAGGCAACCGAAGAAGGCCCTATTTAGAAAAAGAACACACTTGTTCGTACCTAATTAGGAAAGCTAGATTTATGTATCACTGGGGACCTTATCCGGACCAAAACAGGAGCTCGGCAAGCTTAATTAACCCGATTAGATAATTTTAGGTTTGTCAATAACTGATTTTTAGAAATATAATTAAGATTTAATTAGGACCCAAAAAGGCCAAAAAATCGAAATTAAAATTCCTAATCAGGAGGTCCTTATGAAAAACAAGTCCCACACGTAGTCAGGGTATATCGCCGTTATCCTAATGCTATTTCTTTCTTAAAACATTTTCTTACAATGACTAAATTCACATTATGATACTATTAATAAAACAAAAATAATGTTTCAGTAAAATGTCAAATTTAGAATGATTTTTTATTGTTTTTCATCAGATAAAGTGAGTAAAATTTATGAATGGAACATAACACAGAATAATAACACGAAATAAGAAAAAAATTGTTAATAATAATAGATAATCCTAATTACGTAGTTTTTCACTCCCCAATCGTTATTCATTTTCTTTTGCTACTGCTATAAGAAGAAATTGTTTCCGTGAGTAACATATACATATATTCTTGTTCAACACGTTGAACTATACAATAATTTTAAGAAAATCGGAGCTGTGACCCCTAAAGTAAACAATTGCCTAGACATGTTTGCGTCTATGAAATAACTTTAAAAAATAGGCCAGTAACCATTTGCAAAACGCCCGCTTCATTTCTTCACGAACCGCCACTGGTTCATATTGACGACGATTTACATCAAGACGTTTTGTTGATAACTGCGATTTATTTACATCTTCAGTGGAAACTTTGTTAATAACGTGGGTGTAGTACAGTAGCAATACAGAGGTTACACCCGGAAATCTTGGAAACTACTGAAGATGTTAGAAGCAGAAGCAGTTTAGACTTATTATTTTGTCATGTAGATATCTTGAAATAGAACATTATTAAGTTTCTAATGATACAATTATCAGCAATATTTGTGGTATAGATGGCGACCTACTTACATAGTCGTTATTTTATTCTCATTTTTGTTTATTCGTACATTTTCATCTCCATTAGTTCTGCAAGCCCTAGTTATAATTCGGTGACTAATCGAAAGTAACAAAAACTGTCTCAGTATACTAACGGTACAGATAAAGATAAAAATATCAGCAATCGTTAAGTTTGAAGGGCACAAACAAGTTCACGAGCAGTCTTTGTTTGTTAGTGTGCCAGTTCGCAGTTGAACCTGCTTACATCAGTTATAATTTCTTTTGATTAGCATTTTTATTAATTTGGTAAGCACATTTTTATGAATAGCATTTTCTTACAGGCGTTTTACATTTGAGTTTGATTGTGAGTATTTAGTAATTATTTACTCAACAATAACGTATCATACTACAATAAGTACAATAATAATTAATAATNTTAAGAATTTTATTCTATGGAATAAGCGTATTTTTTATAAGTTTTCTATATAAATCATGACCTAAGTACCTGAAATATGAATAATTTAACATATGTGTGTATACAATTGTTGTACTACAAAGTCTTCTTTTTGCTGTTATTAATTTTATAAATGCCTTAATTATAAACGTTACCGTATTTTATCATAATTTTGCAGTCTGTTTCCAGTTTTTTAGGAAACTAATTGTAATAATTAGTATAAAGTGTATAAAGGTAAAATATTTACCGGAATTAAATGTATTACGTATCTGACGCTTTATACGTATATATATCAAATTTTATACCAAATTTAGTGCATATATATCTGCATGATCTTCTAAATGCTCCACTAATCGATTAATTTTTAATGATTTTTCTATCATCGGCTTTAGATTTGATAGTGCTAAGTGAATATTTATAAGAATAGGTGTAATAAATAAAAAAAATTTAATTACCAGCTTTTCATCTTAAAACTAATTTTAAACCATAAACATTACTTAACAATTTACTAAATTATATTTTCATTTCAGAGTAAAAACAACTTGTGAAACCGAAGAGAGATATATGGCTGTTATACCGGAATAATCAATTCGCAATGAAGGAGGGAATAATCTGAAAGGTAGGATTTAAAATTAATTTTTTGGTACGATGTTTTATTATATATTCGTAAAATTAGGATTAGGCAGGAAAATTACGAAACAATAAATTATAAAATAAATTTATTTAAAGTTAATAAACCGCAATAGATACTCGTATTAATTTTGACCTAAATTGTTCTCTATAAATAACAAATTGATGTACAAAATACTTAGGATTAGTGGTAGGTATGTAAAAACGTACATATACCAGTAAATACTGGTGAGAGGGTAATATAATACATACCACCAGTATGCATACAATACACAGGTATAGCTTTATAAAGGTATGTTTGTCGGGCAATGGTAAATTCGGCCGGTCATTAAGGCAGTTAGAAAAATTCATTGAGTCAATATTTAAATTCAGCTGCTTCGTTCAAAGCTACCGGAAATTGAGTAAGTAAATTCGACCTGAAAAATTTCATTTATATGTTTATTGGAGACAATACTAACCTTCTGCATATCACATTAAGTATTAGTTATTGAAATAAAAGAAATATTAAACCACAATAAAACAAAATTTTATCAAAGAGAGTAGCAGTTTCCTTTATTAATGCAATTATCATGAGTGTATGTTAAAATGTAATCATTTTTAATAAAATGTACTAATTTTGCTTATACATTTTAAAAACAAACACATTATAGTAATGTGATACTAGTTTCAGATAATTTAAATTTTAATTTTTCCGGTGTTAGGAGTAAATTAACTAATTAAGAAACCACCAACTTCTACTGCAAGGGTTTGTTATCTATTATTATGTATATCCATATTATAAAAAAGTTTCCACCAACATTCTAATCAACCCCGTTTGGCACTTAAGATGTTGTTTTTATTTTATGCGTCTACCTGAGCACAAATAAAACCTTTCTGGCTGAATTTACAACTATAATTAACAAAAACCCATTGAATCGTCCGAATTTATAATCGCCTATGTTTGTCCAATGCAGCAAAAGCCATCACATTTCAAAATTTCACTCAACTTATTAACAGACTGCAATATTTTGGATTATACGCATTAGATTATACGCATTTATATTAGCACACGACAATATCTTGTAGCTTTCCGTTTTATACAATTGGCGTATAACAATTCGATATTGTTTTGCGGGCTTTTTTGTCGTAATTCATAGAATTTCGTCGTTCCTTGCTAAAGGTACGGTAAGTGGTGATTTGGCAGATGCTGATATCAATTTGCAACTTCAAAATTCCATGGACGATAACACTCAATCCGAAAAACAATATCGATCCAATATTTTAAATTATCCATTTGCAAGGAGTTTAGAATTTTTCGGGCTGTCTTCAGTTAAAGAACTAGAAGGCATTCATGGAATGTCCTTTTGTCCCCTTTTGAAGCTTCTAATACCTTCAATGGCCATTGTGAGCAATTTTCATTCATCATTTTATATAATGTTTGATCGGTGATACTAGCAAAACTTACTGTATTTTGCATTTTACAAATAGAAAATACGTTTGGAAAAGTATTTCAAATAAATCATCGTCTATTATACATAGGGTTGCCACCTTTTCAGGCTTTACATAAAGTATTTCTCGACTAAATGGTTCAAAATAAAAAGTACTCAACATATAAATTAAGTATTTTATTTTTTGTTTTTAAAAACATATTTTTTGTTACACCTAGCAGCCAGTAACAAATTGCTGTCGCTCTTAAATACATTAATAGCCTCTAAACAAGGCAAACAAAGATTTAAGTAAACTAAAAGTTCATTTTTAATTAGTTGCGTTCATAACAGAGAATACTCTTTCTGTAAATGCTGAAGAGGCCGGAACGGACAGCAAAACTGACACTACTTTGAACAGATTTGGGAAATCAGGTTGTTTCGTACTTAGAAACATTCTCAAAAATATTGTATTGTGCAATATTATTGATGTAAAAATACTCTGAATTTCGAATAATCGCTTACAAAATTGCGATGTTTACTTAAGGCCTTAAATAAAGTATAACGTACGTACAGTCGAAATAGAGTACAATACTTTATAATAAAGTACGGGTGCAACCCTAGTTATAACACACAATTTACAATGTCACTCGAGAAGAATATAACTGCTGACTATATTACAACCTGTGTAAATGTAAGGTAGACGATACAACACAACAACAATACTGCTTTCAGAAACGTTTTACCAATCCATATAAACTCTAAGCCATCTAAAGTGGCGGTTTATGGAATAATTAAAACTGCCAACAATAGACCACCTTTGCTCATGCCCATGTTTTGTTTCCCTAAAGCATCCCAGTGGCTACACTCAAATGTTATAAAGTTAGGAACTGAAAATGATAATATAGTTATCGAATTCATACAAACTATTAAAAGATTGTTCTCCTATTCACTACAGATTTAAGGTAATAACTACAGAAATGTACTCATTCATAACGTTCGGCTAACTCTTGTGGTGTCTTACTAGTTAGCTGTAGCAGTATTGGAAAATTCCAGATTTTTCATATTGACTTCGTCGGATACAAAGGGTAGCAGAAAGTACGAGTATATTCCTCCAGCTAATGAGAATTCTACTTTTTTCAAGTAGCATTAATCATCAATTTAATGGTCAATCCAATCCTCATACTGTTGTTGCCAAGAAACAGTAACGAGAAAGCGTTGTGAGATGCCGACACGACATTATTAAGTTTATATGCACGTTGGTATGCCATAAATTAACCGTACCAAGTAAAAAACAATAATTAACATTATTTATTTTTATACGAATTGAAAATGAAACATTGTTGATAAAACCTAACAGTCCAAAAGAGTTAGAAAATGCAACAAGTATAGCAAAACATTATTCTGGCAGTTTGTCGATTTTTTTTTGAAATAGGCACTTACAACTCAAGGAATAATCATCGTAGACAATATAATATTAATGTCTGAGTTGTGTTGTCGTACATGATTTGAAAGAAATTCTTTTTTTTTTTCTAAACTTTTAAAACTGTGTTATTTAAAACGCACGATTACAAGAAAAAGCGTACAACGAAGTTTTAAAATTTAAGATTAAAAAAGAAGAACATTAGTCATTTTTAGATACTCAT